TACTGCTGGTGGAAAGGCACTGGAAAAATATATATATATGTATTTTTTAATTTTAAATCAGAATACAATATTATTTGTAAATAGTCTTAAATGACAGAAATAACTATAGCATTTTAGCTGTACTTGGACTCTTGTTGCTTTAGTATTATAATACTGAATCAGTGCTAGTACTGCTAAGGGGAAGTGGCTAAAGAATATGGCACTGTTCTACATCAGCTCATGAGATGCTCCGAAAAGTTTGTATGCAACAGATGTGGATGTTGTCATTGCTAGTAGTAGGATTTGAAATAGCCCTTCTGATCTGCTTCCATTCAAATAAAACCAGGGGCTAATCTTAATGTCTGGTTATTTGTGAGATAAGATGCTCCATGTTCTAGGGACTACAGTGTTGTTTGGCTGCTTTGATTGGTTGCGTATTTTTATATATTAGATAAATATGTACAGAAAGGTAATATAAATGTAGTAAATATATTGGTTAGTTTAATGTCCTCATCCTGCACTGAGCTATCTCACCTTCTAGGTCACTGCTTTGTGCTTGTATAGGAAATCCATCAAGGATTTGAGGAAACTAATGCTTTTCGTTGACACTTATTTCACTTGCTCTGAGACAGCTTTTTACACATAATTCACTGAAATCATTGGCTCTAAGATGTTTTTAAGCCCTGTCTGTGTGCTTGGCAGTCCCAGGGCTGAATTAATTTAGAACCTTACAGAAGGCATATGTCTCCTCTGTAGGAAACCATGTATTTCAGTTTAGCTCTACCCATCTCCATCTGGGAGAGAGCTGGGACACCACCACGTCTCCAATGTAGGTCCTTTGCTACCTTAATCTTAAAATTTCACCACTGTCTTTTAGGTGTTGGATGTGCTCTTTGGCACTGCGGCTTGGTCTGAAGAATCCCTAGCTTAGGGAAGCTGCATGTTGTAGGTTTGCAGCAGTCATCCTGAGTTTGGGCTGTGGCAGAAAGGCTGCAATCACAATTGTAAGCAGGTGTGTCCTTCTTGGTGCAGGAGTCAGTATGGCAACTGACAAGTTGGGCACCAAGGACAAATGTCTGAAATTTCCTTCCAGTAGAGGGAAGGAGAACTGGGCAGAATGGCTTAGAGGGACATAAGGACAAAAAATCATAGGAGCACTCTGGAAGGACTTCCTTGGCACTTCATTGTAGCTTGCCCCTGGATACAACTATGGGAAAGGATGACACATTGGAAGATGGAAATTAAGTTAAGATTGTTGTCTGTGCATTATTATGAATGAAAGTAGCGTGTTTTTTCATGACTAGGACTTTTTTCAGTTCCAAATGTATACTGCTGCAGCAAGACTTGTAATCTGTTTTTATGCAATTGTAAAATGGTTGAGGTTGGAAGGAATCTCTGGAGGTTTTGGAGGGGCGAAGGGCTAGGGTGGTGGGGATTGGTGGTTCTTTTTCTTTCCTGTTTGAAGAAGGATGTGCTTAAAAGCTAGCATCTCTGGTTTCTCCACTCTAACTTGTCTAGACTTACAGAAGTCAATCTAATTTATTTTTTTTTTTAATGCAACAGTGGTTCTGCATACAACAGAGCCAAATATCTATCTTCCTCACCAAGGTACCTACTGTGAACTTATTTTTAAAAGTATGCCTTGCTTGCTCACATTGTCCTTTAATGAAAGGGTCAGTAGCAGCATCTCACAGCTTTTTGTATAACCTATGGATATAAGGGTTGAACACCAATGTCTTCTAGAGTGACTGTGTAAAACCAGGGGATCCTGAGACCATTCCTTGTTGAATCTGTCAGCTCTTCAGTGCTGTCTTGTTGCTTGATCCTAAGCCTGAGACTCTGATTCAACCTGTTAAGTGAGAATTTAATTTGGCAACCACTGACTTCAGTTTTACCTGTCTTGCCATTGTTTCAGTGCATCTTGTATTCCTTCTTTCCCCTTCAACTTTTTTCTCCCATTCCTGAAGGTACTGCAGTTGCCACAGCATTTTTGTTTTCCTTTCTAGCTATGTGGCTGTCTCACTACCGCTGTGCCATGGGGGTCATGGCTTCCACCTCTGGGAAACTATTATGTTCCAGAGTTTACTTACTGCAGACTTGATGATCCACAAAGATTTAGGAAATAATGATTTTTATAGTATTGCATATCACAGCACCTACATTCTTCTTCTCTGTAAGTAACAATGATGGCTGGACTCCTCTGAGACAGCTCACGGATCCCCATAAATCCCTGTGTAAGAGCTGGGGACAGTCAGCAAGGTCCAGGCATTAGCATTCTACAGGCTGTGACTGCTGTTATTAAGGGACTGGTCCAGTTTCATTGCTGCCATTTACTGAAACTAGAGCTTTCCACCTCATTGAGCAGACTAGTGGGAAGCACAGTTTTGCAGATGAGATCTGAAATGCCACAATATCACTAAAAATAATAATAAAAAAACTGCCCTTCCCCCCATGAGGACTTCAAAAATTTATCTGTTCTTGTTTAATTTCTGCTTTCTGTGCAACTTTAGTGGGCGTAACTAATACTCTTTCTGTAGCTATTAATTCTTTCCTGGCTGATTTTTTTTTTTTAAATATATCTCTGACACAGCTCTGTCTGTTATCTCCTGTTTTCTGACCAGTAACTCATTAATGTGTTTAGCTTTTCTGTGTGTTGCCTTTAATATAAAAAAGATGCTCTTTCTTTGTGATAATGAAAGCTTCTGTATGTACTTCAGAAAACCCCTATGATTTAATATTTTGGGGGGAAGAGTGTATTTTATTTTAAATACTCTTTAGTTGCTTGGTGACTTTGCTTGATCTTGCTCGCTGAACTTGATTTGAAAAATGTTTATTACAAAAAAAAACCTTAACTATTTTGTAGCATTGGTTAAATGCTTTTGAAATTGCAGGGTTCACTACACACTTTTGGTAAGAAGGCAAGACATATTTAGTCCTATAACTAATTTAGCAAGTTCTCATAGAATGAAAAAAGTCTACTTTGATATGCTATATATAGGACTGATGGGGCAGCAATGAAATATAAGAATTTGTATGGTGGTCTTAATGACCAACTCTTTTTTTCTCTAAGGTTTGTATGATTTTACGCTTGTTTAAAAAAAAATCTTTTCCCCTTCCCCTCTTAAAGGTAGAGACCTGTGGGTTCTTGTTCTGGGAAGGTTTCCAACCCATCATAAGATTGGCATTCCAGAGTTCAAGTATGTTGCTAATATGCATGGGGATGAGGTACGTTTCAACTTTTGCAATGTCATTTATACCAAATACACTTACCAGAGGTTTAGAGTAAACTTCTCTCAGGTGTGTGCTACTTACTATTGAGGTATGTCATGCCTCAAAGAGGACCTAATATGTGTGTATTCCTCGAAGAATTTAAAGAATAAAGTTACCTTGTTTTGGTGGAAGGGCTTTAGGAGACCTTACATCACAGTGAAGAATCCTACACCTAAGACCTCTCTTAAGTAGAGAACTTTGTCTTCTCCAAGTGAATAAACCCAGAGGCTTTAACTTTCCTGGTAATGAGTCAGATGCATTAGTTTGCTTGTACATTATTATTGCCTAGGTATGAAGTATGACTGATAGAACTTTTCAAATACATCCTAAGACTGAATAATGATTGCTTTGAGGCACCAAATGATTTATTTTAGGAAGAAAATTTCTCTTGGGAACCTTAAGCTAGGAATACCTAGATTGACCCGAGATAACACAGTAAGTACAAAACAAAAAGCAATTTCAGGATTAACTGCTCTGGAAAGAATGCCCACTTATTAATGATAAAGGAGAAAATGGTGATTCTGAACCCTCCTGGTGTAGTACATGAATCTGTAACAGAAAGACTCAACACTTCAGTCTTTTCTCTATGATCTTTTCTTGCTGTTTTCCATATTATTTAGCTTTACTTGCTTATATTAGTTATGTTCAGGATAAGTTTAAACTACACAATATATTTCTATGTGGCCTTTAATGTGAAGGGTAAATAATTCAACAAAAATGGCAAAATTTATACATATGTGTTAGACTGTGAATTCCCAGAGGTAAGAACAACAGATGTGGTACAAGTGTGTGCTGTATAAAGTGTAATATATCGCGAGCTATTGTTATTACCAATGCTGTGTGTGAGCACTTGTAAGCCTACAGGCACTTGTGACATTATGTGCCAAGAATTTTCCCCAAGTTAGACTAGTTTCACCTTGTTTGACAGTGGCTATGCTTGAAGTGCTGCTGGGAGTCTGACTGATTTGGAATTTATCTCTGTGGGAGGAAGCTGATTCATGGTTTCAAATGGGTACACGTGTTACTGGATGCCCAAGATAGGGTTTGCACCTCCTAAAACCTCGTGTGTCAGCAGGGTAGTGCAGGGTGCCCAGGAACTGCGGTTCAATGTGACAATCCCTACAGACTGCTGACAGGAATTACAAACCTATGGCTACAGATGACCCAGCTTTGGTGGGAAAGAGATGGAGGGCAGGATATGATCTCATTCAGAATGACCTGGATCTCAAATGCAATGTTACTGTACTACAGCAGGCCACTCTTCCTATTGAAACTTCCACAATTAAGCACTCCTGCCATTAGCACAGCCCAGCTGGATATGCATAAGGAACGTGGGGACACGCACTGTTTGCGTATCCACAGGGTCAGGAGTTGTTGGAGAGCAGGGAACCTGGATCACTGCCTAGGATCTAAATTTTTATACTGACTTTGAGGAAATGAGGCAGGACTTTTTTTTTTTTTTAAGTATCTAGCACTGTGTCTGAGTTTGTCTGAGCAGGGCTGATCCTTGAGCTGCCTAGGTACCATATAGCACTAAGTGCCCTAGCTTGTTCATTAGAGCAAGCATGCACCTAAGGAAGATTCTGGGAATAGAGCTATTCCTCCTTTTCAGGCCCTCATGATTTTCTTTGCCTTATGGGTTTTTTTGTGTATAGATATAACCCACAGTTGGTGTTTGTTTTTCCTATCTGACCATAAATGTCTTTCAGATGGCAGGAAATGAGTTCCTCATATAGAGAAGCATTGGAGAACTTGAATATTTTTTCTCATAATCTACGATTCTGCTGGACTAGTCACTGGGGAAAGATTCAGCTACCCCTATAATATATTAAGCTGATAAGTTTTACACTAACTGTATGACAAGCTTCAACTTGTGTTCCACAGTGTTTCATAACTTAAAATTGCAGGATTATGGCTTCACTGATCTAGTTAATACTTTTGTGCTTCAGTGATGCTTTCCATAAATGGTACAAAGTGAGAAAAGTTCTGTTCTTAAGTGTTTGGTGATGCTGCCCTTCTAACCTGTCATGGTCATACAAATTACATTTTTTTATTTTTGACTCAGCTGGTCAGTTGCTCCTAAAACCTAAAAGTTGGGGGGGAGCCTGAATTGCATGTGTGCAGGCTGTTCATGCATGCTGCTGGAAGAAAACCTAGGTTATTTGGAGGGCTGCCCAACAGGGAAGTTCTATAATGTGACTACACAATACTAGGATCAGAGTATTTTTTTCAGAACCGGAAAGATTTATTTTTTTAAGTAGGTTAACTTTTCTTAATACTGTAAGACATGGCCAGCCAAGGTTTAAATGACTTTATTTTGTGATCACCATTGCCAAATAGAGTGAACTTTTGCCCCAGATCCCCAGAGATGCAACAAAAGACTTCTCCCATTCTTTGTGTGCCTGTATGAAGTTGGACACCATTTTTAGTGGTTCTTTTTATTTAACCCAAGCCAGATTAAAACTGCTAATTAGAGGTAGTTCAGTCACTTGCACCTATGTGAGACTTTAATCAAAGTGGTACTAACAGACTGCACAAAATGCATAAGCCTGTGAAATGTTCAAGTCTGCCCTGAGGAAGACAAGGGACAGGCTGCCTGCTGTTCTGGCGCAGTCCTCATTCTGAATTAGGCAGCAGCCTCTCTTGTCCTAGGCTTGTACTCTTACTTGAAAGATCTTTCCTTCCTCAGTGTATACACTCACACGGTCCTCTCAGGGGAAAAACTCTTTGCACTTAACATTGACCACAAACCCCCCAAAGCTCTGAAGTCATAAAGGAGCAGAAATATCACCTTTTGGTCAGCTCTACAAGTGACTTGAGTCCAGTCGACACAACTGAGCCATAGGATCATTAAAGGCTGTTCCTAAACCATGTATAGCACAGCAGGAAAACTCTGTAAGGAAAAGCATGTCTGAACAAAGTGTAAACTACCTGTGCATTTCTGCCTGTTCCCTTTAATGTAGTAAGTATACATCTTCCTTAAATTTCTGTAGCTGTAGTGTAACTGGGCCATCAAAAGAGAAACTCTT